ACAAGTAAACACATCATGCAGTTTTTAAATGAAGGTTTTTATTATTAAGGGAAAACAAAATCCAAAACTATAGAGCCCTGTGTGAACAAGTGTTTGCCCCCCTGTCAAAACACTGGTTTATCGCACCTGAGTTCAATTTCTCTTGCCACACCTGTTCGCAATCAAGAAATCACTTAAATAGGACCTGCCTGACAAAGTGAAGTAGACCAAAAGATCCTCAAAAGCTAGACATCATGCCGAGATCCAAAGAAATTCAAAAACAAATGAGAAAGAGAATAATGGAGCTCTATCAGTCCGGAAAAGGTTATAAAGCCATTTCTAAAGCTTGGGGACTGCAGCGAACCACAGTGAGAGCCATTATCCACAAATGGCGAAAACATGGAACAGTGGAGAACCTTCCCAGGAGTGGCCAGCCGACCAAAATTACCCCAAGAGCGCAGCGACAACTCATCCAAGAGGTCACAAAAGACCCCACAACAACATCCAAAGAACTGCAGGCCTCACTTGCCTCAGTTAAGCTGAGTGTTCATGACTCCACCATAAGAAAGAGACTGGGCAAAAATGGTTTGCATGGCAGAGTTCCAAGACGAAAACCACTGCTGAGCAAAAAGAACATAAAGGCTCGTCTCAGTTTTGCCAGAAAACATCTTGATGATCCCCAAGACTTTTGGGATAATACTCTGTGGACAGACGAGACAAAAGTTGAACTTTTTGGAAGGTGTGTGTCCCTGTGTTATCTTTGACTAATATATAAATTTGTTTGACGATCTGAAACATTACAGTGTGACAAACATGCAAAAAGATAAGAAATCAGTAAGGGGGCAAACACTTTTTCACACCACTGTATATTGCCATTTCAACATAATTGATAGGAATGAACTTTTGTGAGCCCAGATTTAAAACAAAACAACACAAATGACAGCAACCAACAACAGTGTCAAACAATTAAGGTCTCTCAGATTTGAAGGGTTCCCACCTGCTGCTCTGAGATCTCTCCACAGGTGCTCTATGGCAGTGGTCCCCAACCTTTTTATCACTGCGGACCGGTCGACGCTTGACAAACTTACCGCGCCCCGGGGGGGGGGTTAGTAGGTAGGTAGGTAGGTACGTAGATTGTTTATATTGTTAGTATAATAATAAACGTGAATCCAACGTGTTGACATTTTTAACTCCCCATAACGCTAAATCAATGGGAGCCCTGAACTTGTTTCTCTGCAATGAGACGGTCACCCGAAGTGTGTCTACTCCGTTGTTTTGTTTTGGTTGCAGTCACTGCAGAAAAACCCGCTTCACACAGACAGTGGCTGAGACACTAAACACGCACATGCATCTACTGGATCCTCTGACAGAATTAAACATCCTTTTATTGGATTTATTAAAATGTACCAATATTTTTCCACTGCTGATTTCTTGAGTTACAGTTATGGCCAAAAATACTGGCAGCCCTGTATTTCTGTCAGGTAATGCACCACTTCTCCCAGAAAACTGTTGAAGTCACAGATTCTTTGATATTCTCATGTTTATTTCTGTTGTTTGCACTGGATCAACACACAAAGCAGAGAAAAAGCCAGATCTGATCCAGTTTACACAGAAATCCAAACATGGACTGGACAGAATTACTGACACTCTCAACCTAATATTTGGTAGCACACACTGGACAAAACAACTGAACTTAGTTGCTTCCTGTAACCATCAATGAGTCTCTTTCATCTCTCTGTAGTACTCTTAAAAAAAGCGGTCTGAGAACTACATCTGTCTGTCTCTCCAGGTGATTGGCATGTTTCCAGGGAAGGACATACAACTTTGGACCACCCTTCTTCTGCCAGCTGCTCCAGGTCTCAGGTGTGAAGGGTTCCTTCTCCCAGCTGCTCTTCTGAGATCTCTCCACAAGAGCTTTATGGGATTTAGACCTGGACTCATTGCTGGCCACTTCACAACTCTCTAGCTCATTGTCTGAAACCATTTCTCGTGCTGTCTGAAGTCTGCTTTGGGTCATTGTCCTGCTGTACTCATGACCTCTGATGGAGACTTTCTGACACTGTGCCCTAGAACTTGTTGGTAGACTTCAGATTTCATAACACACAGTCAAAGACATCCAGTGCCTGAAGCAGCAAAGCAATCCCAGAACATCAGTGACCCTCCACTGTGTTTGACTGTAGGGATGTGTTCTTTTCTCTGAAGGCCTCATTTCATTTTCTGAGAACAGCAGAATGATGTGCTCGACCAGAAAGCTCTAATTTAGTCTCATCTATCCACAGGACATTCTCCCAGAAAGGTCATGGCTTCCTCAGGTAATTTTGGCAAACTCCAATTTGCCTTTTTGTTTTTGTGTCAGCAGTGGGTTCTCCTGGGTCTCCTGCCATAGTGACCCTTGTCATTCAGATGGCAACAGATAGTGTGAGCTGACACTGTTGCACCCTGTGCCTGCAGGTCAGCTTGAATTGTTTGGAAGTTGAAACAATCCTTCATTACAATCTGTCATCTAGTTTTCTCTTTCATCCATGTCCAGGGAGATTAGTTACAGTGCCATGGGCTGTAAACTCCTTGACAATGTTGTGTATAGTGGACACGGGAATAGCCAGGTCTCTGGAGATGGACTTGTAGTCTTGAGACTGTCCATGCTTTTCCAAATCCTCAGACAATTGTTTGCTCTTCTTTCTTTTCTTCATGCTCAGTGTGATACACACAGGTTGAGTCAATTTTTCTCCATTTTAACTGATTTCTTTATTGCCAGCACCTGTTGATCGCTACTGGTGAGTTTCATTACAAATTGCAGGGGCATCACATGCTTGAAATACAACTACTTCTGATTATTTTGGCAAGGTGTTAATAATTCTGTGCAGTCCATTTTTGGAGTTCTGTGTGGAATATATCAGACTTGGCTTTTTTTCTGCTTTTCTGTGTTGCTCCAATGCAAACACAAGAAATAAACATGAGCATACCAAAGAATTTGTGTTTGGAACAATTTTCGGGGAGAAGTGGTGAGTTATCCGACAGAAATTTAGGGATGCCAATATTTTTGGCCATGGCTGTACATACACGTTTCCTAATTAGTTTACTGTTTGCATCACTTTTCAAGCAAAAATGCCGCACATTTGTTGGCAAAAGCTTCTTAAATCTCTTCCATATTAATGTAAAAGAATATCTTAGGGTTTTTATTATTCAGACAAATAAGCAAACTCGAGCATTTCCCCCAGTTTTCTGACAAATCAAAGGGAATGAACAGAGCTGTTACTTGCAGCCTTTTGTTATATAAGAGAAGATAAATGCAGTCAGTGTGGAAGTAACTAATCAAATAAATTAAATGAAGGAAAGCAAAATATTTTAATCAAATGTATCATCTATGCAACTAAATAGATGGGTGACCCCTGCAGCCTGTTTCCCACTGGTGATGTGTTAAAACAACAGTTAAATGCTATATAAGAGATTATTGTTCTGACAGAATTGTATTTTAATGTAATCTCAATGTCCATATTTAATCCTGTCAAAGTGGATTTCAACTGATTTAAAAGGATTTTAATGAAGAAACTGGGACATAGCAGCACATCTATTACCTTCACCCAGTGTCAGGTGGTATTGGCTCCCCCCCCCCCCCCCCCCCCCCCCCCACCCACCCACACACACACACACACATACACATACACACACAGATTGAGACAGCAGAATCTCCTCTCCAGTATTTAATGCTCTCTGAGATTCTGCAAATCACGCTGACACAAGAGCACTCATTGTCTGTTAGACTTTTCATGTGCTATGTCCTGTACACCAAGTGTGAAAGCACAGACACATTTGCTACTGCTCTATTTTTCTATAGCTGTGTCCTTGTTGGACCTCTTTTATTAATCTGCAGTCTGTGCGAGTGAACAGTGTGAGCCAGAGAGAGAGAGAGTGTTTGAGTGCAGACAGAATGAGAAGCCGTGCGACAGAGTGAGCCTGGCACACTTAGCCACAGTGTTTCACTGCAGAGGTTTTAAATCCTTTAACATGATTTCACTTATCCTATTAAATACATACAGTAGCTATGGATAGGGATACTGTGAAGTATTATGCACAGGAGGAAGGGGGACAGAGTGGGAAGGAGAGAAAAGGAAAGGAAGAGGAAGAGATTCTAAATGGGTGTTATATTTAGGGAGCCAATTAGTTTTGTTTCTATATGTAATCAGGCCTGAAATTTTCTGTCTGTCATCTCCTTTAGATTGGGCTGGATGACCTTTCATTATTTACTCTCCCCATATATCATTTTATCATTTTCACTTGGACATCATAAACCCTTCCACCTTTGGTTAGGGTTTAGACAAAAATATGAACATGGCACCTGCATATTTTTTTAACACCTCACTTCTCTGATCACAGGCATATTGCATATCATTGTCATTCACTGCCAGCACCTCACAGTCCAGTAAAAATAAACACAGGCAGGCCCGGCCCTAACCAATTTGGCGCCCTAGGCAAGATTTCAGGTGGCGCACCGTTGCATCGCAGTAAATTCCACTGCTAATGTATATACTCATAAGAAACGTAATAGCTTTGTCTTGGACATTCTTTTATTTAAATAAAGCAATTGCACATTCAAAATACTTAGAAAGAATTAAAGAAACAAATACAAAAAAAATGAACTGAACATATGAAATACAATATAAATAGCTTACATAAAGTACCTATTAATACTCCCAAAATAAAAAGTGTAAACAAGTGACATTAACTTAAAAATACAATATAAATACGGCACTGTGCAAAATAAGATATTAAAGAAACGAGTAGGCACAAAATAATACAAGTATTTAAATAAAAATAAAAAGATGATCTTACAAAGACCTCTAGTGGTGTTTTTGGTACTGCCGTAACTTAAAAACTACACCATCACCTCCTCAATCTCACATAACCTGCTACAGCTTTACTCTCCTGGTTTTTCTTGCAGCAAAGTCATCTACAACATCATCATATGACAACTGATTTGAGACCACATGGTTTATGCTTATAATGGCAAGTCCACTGAGACGTTCTTGCATCATAGTAGATCTCAGGTAAGTTTTAATCAGTTTGAGCTTAGAGAAGCTTCTTTCAGCAGCAGCCACTGTAACAGGAAGAGTGGCAGAGATTCTCAAAGCAACCCACATGTTGGGGTAAATTTCTGCCAGCTTCTTCTCATGCAGGAAGGTCAAAAGTTCCATGTTTGTCATATTGTTTGATGGCAATGGTGGGAAATTCTTCATTTCCTTTGCAAGTTCTGTGCCATCAATGTCCGGCTGGCTGTCATGGGTCAGAGCAGTACTTAGGGTTTGACACTTCTGTAGCAGGTCCTCTTCTTCTAAGTTGGGGAAATCGAGGAGCACACCAAACGTGTTATTCACCTCTCCAAGATTCTGAAATCTCTCATCAAGTGAAGAGATGGCAGTATCCGACCACATTAAAAAATGTGGTTTCCAAGTGCATCTTGTATGGGCTCTTCTGGAGACTCATAGCCAAAGTGCCTTTTTGTGGTTCTCAAACGCTTTTGTTTGAGTTCAGCCTCCACATTCATCTCTTCACACATCTTCTTTGCAATTGTCTGTGCATCAGAAAATCCAGTGTTTCTGTAACTGGTGAGGGAATCTCTGGTTTTCTTCAGCAAGTCGACAGCCACATCAAGCTGCATGGAGGGTGACTGCATCAGTTTACTGACATGCTGGATCTTGCTGAGAATGTCATACCATATGGCTGTACAAATGCAAAAGCGATAGGATCCAATCTCCTCAGCCAAAGCTTGGGCTGCACCTCTCACCACAGTGTCTGCAGTTTTTTCCCTCACCTCCAGAAGAGCCTCTCTGACTTGCCCACCCTAATACCTTACTGCCTCAATGCTTTTTATCCTGCTTTCCCATCTGGTCTCAGCCCATGATTTCAGAGTGATTTTCACATATTTCAAGAGGACATCCCACCTATGGGTGGAGGCTGAGAAGAGCTTGAATAACTTTGTCAAATGCCCTAGGTAGCCAAGGGCATCTGGTGAACTTTTTGCAGCATCAGCTACTACCAGATTTAAAGTGTGGGCACCACATGGGACATAAAAAGCTCTTGAGTTCAGCTGAAGCAACTTTGCCTGAACACCTTTATTTTTTCCCTTCATATTGGCGCCATTGTCACAGGACTGGCCTCTGCAGTCCTCAAATGGGATATTAAGTTCCTCTATAGCCTTTTTAAGATTAGAGATGACAAATGTTCTCCTGTTGACTGCTCTGCCACAAGAAAGCCCAAGAAATGCTCTTTTACTTGAGGAATGTCTTCTTGTGACACTATCCTGACTATGACAGAGAGCTGTTCCTTATGACTCAGATCAGGGGTGCAGTCTAAAATGATGGAGAAATATTTGGATATTTTGATCTCTGTCACAATGTGTTCTATTATTTTAGAACTGATGGAGTCTATCAGTTCATTTTGGATTGTTTTGCCAAGATAATGTACATGACTGCCAGCTCCACTTTCCACCCTACTGACATGCTGCTTCATCACTGGATCAAATTTGGCCATAAGCTCCACCTCTTTCAGGAAATTTCCATTGTCTGGTTTATTTAATGTGTCTGTAGAACCCCTAAAAGCCATGTTTCTTTCAGCTAAGGACTAAATTATTGCCACCAATCGATGTAGAACGTCACGCCACCTTTTTCTCTCAGCCTCAGCAAGTGCCATCTCTTGTTTATCTATTGTGAGCCCTTTTGCAAAACAGACCTACAAGTCCTTCCATGTTGCCATGTGAGCATTATGCTCCTGACTATCCTCATGGACCTTGAGCAAGTGACTTGCATTTTTCCAGTCCTTAAGTCCTTCCCTGTTCAGTTTGTACTCTCTTTTAGAAAAAAGTTTGCAGCAGAAGCAGTTCAAACTACCATCTTTTTTAGAGTACATAAGCCAGCTTCTTCGGACTTTTTCTCCATTGACTAAGACTCTGTTAAAATAGTCATGTTGACACCTTCGACCGTCCTTTTGTTTAGGGAATGTGAAGCTATTTTCTATTTGAAATGGACCACTGTAGTGTTGCACGATATACCGGTACTAGTATGGTACCGCGGTACTGAGGCATTTAAAATGGTACTATACTGCATTTGGACGGTACCGGTACTTGCAGCGCCGCCCGCAGCGCTGCCCGCAACAGAGGAAAACAGAGCAGGAAACAGCTTCCTCGTCCTCTGCTCACTGAGCAGCGTGGACTGGAGCAACAAACGGAGCAGGAGGAAAGCTTGGAGATAGCAGAGACGTTGGAGAGGGAGAGGGAGAGAGGGAGAGAGCGAGAGAGAGGAGCACGGAGAGGAGAATGGCTGCTGTAACAGTCACCACCCCGCAACTTGTGGACAAACGAGGGGCGCGAAGTGCTATAT